GCAATTCATAGCAATTCTATATTGAAAATACTGTAATTAGAATCATAATTATAGAACCGTGTTTGTATTATATTAAAGTGTTATATATGTTGTCACAACATGAAAGTTAAATTCGATTCAATTAAGTAGGTCAATGGATTAAACATATGAGATTTGAGTGATTTGAGCCGTGCTAGTTCTGATTGGGTACAATGTGCAATCATCTGTTGCAACTACAGAACAGGCGATCTGGTTTGCTTTCTGACAGATTCAGAGTGCGGGGCTGCCAACGCCAGCATTAAATGTTCCACTTCTCTCAAGTGTTCCTTTCAAGAAAAGATGTCAAACAAACGTCAAACTCTTGCAAGTCAGTAACCTGACTTGGATCCTTCTGGCAGTCTCTAAGTGACCAATCAACGAGCTTCTGGTGAATCCAATGACAACCAGATCGATCGGTCCAACCATAGATCGGTCGTCCTCTCCAGAACAGCTCCGGTTCACGCGAAGAGCTCCGGTTTTTTGCGAGATTGAACGGGGTTAGGTGAAGAGTCACATCTGCAGCCTATAGAGATTGCGGGGTTAGGGTCAAGAGTCCAATCCCAAATGCTCCATGTATGGAATATGTGCATACATTGGGGTGGTTGAAACGGGCTCAATGTAGGCATATATTCCGTACATGGAGCGTATGGGAATCAATTCCACCAACCCACAGCAATTGTGAACCACATCAACCCATCAGTTCAAACAGTTCAATCATCACTGCAGTGGCCTGGATGTGACCATCAATTGCCAAACAAAAAGAACAATGATCTTCGGAAATCCAGGGGGGGGCATCAAAAAATCATCCGATCGTCCGCCCATCTTCCGTTCTTCCCAGTCTTCCCATCACTATACATATGAGAACCAGCTGCTTCAGGGCGGGCGGGCGTTCGGGGTCACCTGGCTGGATATCTCCACACTATGTAAACAGGTCTCCAAACAGGGCACCCCGCTAGGTACTGCGCTAGGGATAGATATTATTGCATCAATATCCAACTCTTCCGTCATCTTCCCCATATCCCATATCCCATTATATCACTATACATGTGATTATACAATCGATATCCAAATCGTTCGTCATCCAGTTCGGGCGGCCTTTGGCATCTTCCAGTTCCAGCTCGGCGCCAAACTCCAGCAGTTCCGCCATGACGTCACCTGGGACGGCGAGGTCGCCGGTCGGTCGCCCTTCATTTCGCTGGTCGGTCGGTGAGCCAAAGAACCCGTTGTCACCATACGGGCGATAGTGGTTGTAACCTTCCTCCAAACTGATCAGCCAGTGGCTTTCTGACAGAATGCCTATAAGAAGAACCCACACTCCACCTGATGAATGTTTCAAAAAATCTTCATCAACTCCACTGATGAACCCACTCAGCTCGAAACCTCCAACTGAAAACCACTTGAGATCCAAACATTCATTGACTCCTATATAATACGTTTCTATCACTTCTCTCCCCATCTGAGCGTCCCCGGCTATGCCCCCGCATCGCCGCCAGCATCAGCGGCGTCAAGCCCTCCGCGCTGGCCGCGTCCACCGCGGCGCCCGCGGCGCAAAGCCGCTGCGCCAGCGGCGCGAGGCCCGCCGTGGCACAGCGGTGCAGCGCGGTGGCCTGGGCGAACTCGGGTGGTGGAAGAGGAGGAGCAAGGGGGCTCGCAGCAGTTCTAAAGACTGTGTGCAGGTCTTTCAGTCTCCCTTTATTGTTGGTGTTCTTTTGCTTTGATTGATGACGATTCCAAAAGCGTCCAGAGTCTTCCTGGATCATTTCCAAAGATTCTCCAGCAGGTTTAGGACTGTAATAAATGAATATATCAAAGACCATCCTGTGTAAGCACTTTCGAGCGAAAGATCATCCTCTCCTCAATCCTCAAGAGGTACCTGCACCCTGTGGGTTTTGTTTTCACGGGCTGCTTCTTCGGCAGAACCACACATTCAAGCAAAGCTGCACTTCTTGCAGCTGTTGATGCTCTTTTAAGATCATTCAGTATTTCAGTATGATAGTCTTTTCTCAAAAAAATCCTAATATAGCATGTTGACATTTTGCACGCAAGAGTTCCATCAACATCCATCAACGAGTGTCAGATTCATGTCGCATTCTCCCCAAACCTTCGAAGCCACTCCTGCCCCACCCTTCTCACACCACAAAGGAATCGGCTACCACTCCTTTGGGGCCCCCCACGCCCACGGCATCGGCAGCATCCAGCTCGGCGCCCGTGGACAACAAGAGCTCCACGGCTTCGGATTGATTGCCTCACCGGTCGGTCGAAACGCTCGGTCGGAGGCCGTGGTCTCGGTTCGGCCGGTCGCTCGAGCGGATCGAAGGTGGATGGGAGGGTGTTGGACATGTGATGTGCAGGTAGAATCTGAGGGCTTGACTGATAAACTGATAGCTACACTTCCTGGAAGAATCGTGCATGGCCAAAAGGATGACCATGAAATCCGAATAACCAAAGAGGTGGTGAACTCCACTTCAATGATGGGTCCAGGAAGTGGAGAGCCTCAAACCGACCTATATCAAACCAGAATAGGTTACCAGGTTACCATCCTTCAGTATTTCAATTACAGTGCTCAGGACGCATCTCGTGCACTGGGCCTCTGGACCCACAGGCGCAGGACTGCTCCCCACATGGCCCAACTCTGGCGCCAAGACAACGATCGCGCGCCACGTCTTTTGCAACCCCATGTTCAAAAGCACACGAAAGCAACAAAACATAACATCATACAGACACAATAAATTAATTTAACATAATTTAACGGTTGATATGTCAAAACAATGCAAACCACATCTCCGTCATTCTCCATCCAACCTGCACACAAAGATACTCGTATTTATGCCCCTATGGGTTCTGGATGGTTCTGGCCACCTTCAACGTCCGTTCATCCGAGCACCACCAGGTCCGTCGCCTTCGACCGCGGCCTGCAGCGCGCGCACGCCGCTCCGCGTCTTGCGCTCCAGCGACGCCGACTGCGCCAGCAGCAGCTCCAGGGTGGCCACGTCACCGGCGAAGGCCGCGGCGATGAGCGCTGTGGCCTGGGCGGATGTTGATGGATCTGTGGATGGCCAAACTCAGAAAGAACGTCAGTGATAAGTGATAACATGTGTGGATGATTGCTGGAGAAAACCCAGAAGGGGATTCACCCACCGGAAGACACATCACTCACTCGATCAGCGAAACCAAGGATTCCTCACAACAGTATAGAATTGTGTCTATAAAATGACCCCTGGAAATGGCATTTTGTAAGCACAGGGCATCTGCATTTCATCAACAAGTAAGGAGGATGTATAGATAGAGAATGTGCCACTGGCTTTTTCAACCTGGAGCTCCAAAGCCTGTTCGCTTGACCGTGTCTGGTCATCTATTCGCTGTTCAGGGATCAGCCAGGGTTGCGAAGTTTTGACCACACCCATATGGCAGGAGTAAAGCAAGAGGCCTCGCACAGCTGATCAACCAATCAGCTGTGAGAGGCCTCTTGCAAGCCTTTCACCTGCTTGCTCAAAAGCATAGTCGGCACTTGGGAGATTCGCTCTCCCTACCCCCAGCTGGGGATTATCAAATAAGCCCTCCATTCTGAGACTCTGGAGTTCAACCCCTCCAGTTCCCAACATGTTGCAACATGTTGCACCAGTGCATTTGACTGAAATGCACCAGTGCTGCAGGTATATTACACCCCCAAAATCACCGACCCCAAACCCCTCATCCAAACGCTCTCGTCCCTCTGCGGGAAAAGGCGCTCCGCTGGGGTTGGCGGCGTCCACGTCCGCCTTGGCCTCGAGCAACTGCCGCACCAGGCCGCTGCGGCCCAGTGCGGCGGCGGCGATCCTCAGGTCGGCTTCCCATGGGAAAGACTCTCTCAAGGTGGAAGGAATGCTTTGGGTGAGGTGTAGGAAGTACCTCGAATCTGAGAGCTTTTCTGAACTGCTGATAGCATCTGATAGCTACATGTATACACTTCCTGAAAGAATCATGGGGCCAACGTGGATGGCGTGGAACCAAAACCGACCTGAACAGGTGACCATCCTTCAGTTGTTCAAACATGTTCAACAAATTAGAGATCATCCAATTCCATTCGGTTCCCAGGACAACTATCGTCGAAAAAGAAACAAACAACGGTTTAATTCGATTAGTTATGTGGTAGAGACCTAGTTGGGGAATTTGGGGTTGACTCGACCAGGAACCACTGCAAGGGGTCTCAATTTCAAGAGGAGCTTGGACAAATGAAGAATTGACCTACGCAAGTGGTTCATCAAGCGACCTGGGACAGGTCCAGCTGTGCAAGTGGTTCATCAAGCGGCGCGTTTCGCCCCGTGGCTCGATGATCCGGCTCCAAACCAAGGATTGGCCATTGAACCCCATATAACCCAATCCATCCGTCTAGATCTCACTCTCCCGCTGTGATCCGCATGACATGCCGGCACTCATGCCGGCTTCTTTGAGGCATGGAATGGTATGGAGGCCACGAAAACCGGCGCCCTCCAATTTCACCAAATCCAGGACCAGCCGGATCTCAGCCCTCCGCGTTTTTGGTCGCCCAACGCCCCCTTTTTTCGTCCCATGCAGAACGTCGTGTCCGGTCCACCGGCAAAGCCCAACTGCACTGCGGACCGACACTCCGGTCATGGTGGAGCGGTCCGGTGGACCGCTCCACCGCGTACTCCGCGGTACTCGACGTGCGACGCTGTCGCGTTGATCCGACGCGTCGATCGAGCCCGGGGAGTGGTGATTCACTGCTCCAGGATGTTCCAGAGGAGTCATCAGTTGAGATTTTCAAGGAAGGACTGCGATGGACAGCCAGGTAGTCAGAGGGACCATTTTGTATAGGATCCTATACAGTATATAATGAGACAAATGTGACAGCCACCAGGCCAGGGATCAAACAAAGCAACAATTAGTATCTCTTATATGCATTCATCACATCATGATCGCTTTGTCACTTGTCCTGTAGTCATTAGGATTCCAATGATTTTACACTTTAAACAGGTTTAAATGCTGGCTTCTGATGGTTCGTTTGCCCTTCATGAATACCCGTTGCCGACCGCAGAACCAGCAACTGGACAAGATCTGGCCTCACTACGATTCATTGAGAGCCAGAGCTGCTTGGCCAAGGGCTCCTTAGATTCGATGCGCTCATGGCAGGGGAAGACCCGGAGGGGGAGGAGTTGCCAGAAAAATGATGCAGGACCTCTCACACCAATCCAGGTAAAACATGGGGGTGGACCCTAAAAGATCTACAAGCAACTATATAATGAATCAGCCTGCTCTTATGCATCTCTTCTCATCTGTTCTTTACCCTTCGTGCAAGTCCGAACGTTGTTGATGTCGACACTCCGGATTCCCGATCAGTCTTGTCTCTCATGCATCTCGTCATTCTTGGAAACTCACCCTGGCAAACTTAGTGTCCAATTGCATCTGTTCATGTTTGGCTATTTGGGGAAGCTCACTTTGGCCAACAAAAACAACAGAACACATCATGCGTGGCACCCCAAAACGACCCTCCCTCCTCCCGTGGCGCGAGCGTCGTGTTCGCGCACGGCACGCACGGCACACCCGCGTCCGGCAGCGGCGGAGGGAAGCCGACGAAGCCGGCGCCGGGGCGAAGCAACCTGCGGTGGCTCCGCGGAATGGGACTGGCATACCTAGACTGGCATATATTAACTCACACATATAATTTATATATATATATATTATAATATCCCTATATAGGGGGGGACGTCAATAATTGTAACTTACATTTTCTGCCATATGAGCCCTCAAAAATGTAATTTACAGTTTCTGAAAAAATGCTGGAAAATGTAAGTTACAATTTCCAGGAGGCTGGGATGCTCATCAAAACAATCCCGAGGCCCCCAAACCTCCATGTTTACCTATGTTTACCTGCCCTTTAGCTGCCTGGAACTGTGTGTGTTCCATTTTCCACCCTGTGAGTGCCACCCCAAGTCTTTCCTCCCAGTCAAGATGCTGTTGTGGAGCCATAACCAAAGGCATCAGTTAACTGCAATTCAGTTCTGGGCAGGCCTTCAAAGCCCCATATTTACCTGCAATGTGTGCCTGTCTGTCTGGTGGGATGTGTTTGCACAGTTTGATGCTAGTTTGATGCAGTTTGTGTGCCGCTCTTGGATTGATGGTGTGGTTTCATTGATTACACTGCCACTGATTTACCCCCCCAACACACACTCTGACACTTGTATTCAGTTAACTCAATTTCCCGATAAGGTGATGGAACAGCAAGGTGGAAAGATCAGCTGAAACAGTATTGTTGAACAATGTTGGCACTCGGAAGCGGCGGAAAGCGAACCGGCTGCTCAGCTGCTGGGGACGAATGTTTATGGGGTGGAAATCGTGAAGAACCATGAAACAAAAAGTGGAAAAGTGGAGTAACAGCTTGTGAAAGAACGAGCAGGTACACGGAAGTGATCAGCTTCCGCTTCCTAGGATCTTGCAAAGAGCTTCGTTGGGCAGAGCCTTGCAAGTCCTCTCTGCCCCCCTGCTGTGGAACTGAACGGTGGTAAAGGTGACCAGTGGATTAGTTGGACGAAACCCTTTGTCCAGGGATGGACACACACAGGTCGCCGGCTTCGGCACTTTTTTCAAATAAACCGCGGAGGGCGTGCTTTGTCAAAACTAATAGCCACCTAAAAAGCCTTAGAAAGACAGAGAAAGCAAACAAAACAAAAGCAGACTAAGAGGGCAAGAAAGAAAGATAGGAGTAGTTACGAGGCCCACTTAGTTAAATGAAAGTAGAACGCGAGCGGGACATTCGTCTTAAACCGCCTGGGTAGCTAGCAATAGGCTAGGAGAAACAGAAGGAAAGGCACCAACACACAAGTGTGTTGAGTGCGATTTCCTTCTGTTTCCCGAGTAGCGGGTGGGATAGCAACGGAGGCCTGGGGGTAGGGAGGGGAATGCATGATGAATTCGTCCGGCCTGTGAATACTTAGCAGCACATGCATGTGGATACTTAGCCGTCAAGTCAAAAAGGCAAAACATGCAGAAAGCCGGCCTGTGAATACTTAGCAGCACATGCATGTGAATACTTAGCCGTCAAAAAGTAAGTAACCGTGTTTAGGCCCGGCGGCCAATGAAGCTGTTGATTCAAAGGGCGTGTCCATGACTTCCAGTGGAAATCCGGTGAGAGGTGGCATGTTGGGTTGGTTGCTTACCGGCGTGAAAAACTGCGCCCCTGTGACGGGGATCACACTCAGCACCCGAGTGGGACGGCTGAGCGAAACACACTCTGACACTTGTATTCAGTTAACTCAATTTCCCGATGGGAAGGAAGGTGATGGAACAGCAAGGTGGAAAGATCAGCTGAAACAGTATTGTTGAACAATGTTGGCACTCGCAAGCGGCGGAAAGCGAACCGGCTGCTCAGCTGCTGGGGACGAATGTTTATGGGGTGGAAATCGTGAAGAACCATGAAACAAAAAGTGGAAAAGTGGAGTAACAGCTTGTGAAAGAACGAGCAGGTACACGGAAGTGATCAGCTTCCGCTTCCTAGGATCTTGCAAAGAGCTTCGTTGGGCAGAGCCTTGCAAGTCCTCTCTGCCCCCCTGCTGTGGAACTGAACGGTGGTAAAGGTGACCAGTGGATTAGTTGGACGAAACCCTTTGTCCAGGGATGGACACACTCTGACACTTGTATTCCGTTAATGCAAGTTCACGATGGGAAGGAAGGTGATGGAACGGTAAGGCGAAAGAGTCCGCTGAGAAGTATTGTTGAACATTGTTCACTCAAACGGTTGCGAGACGATCAAGATGGCGGCGCAGCTGCTGGGGAAGAAGAAAGGTTTGCGGGAAGGTATCATGCGAAACCACCATGAATCAAAAAGCGGAAAAGGAGGGTAACAGCTTGTGTAGCACTTTGCAGGTACGTTCTCAAGGCGTCCCTCGAGAATATCCTGACGAATGGCTGGAGCTTCGTTGGATCAGGCCAGGCCAAACGTCCCTGATCCCCCTGCTTGCGAAAGGTGGTGGCGGAAAACCCGTCCAGGGGTGGACACACACAAGTCGCCGCGTTCGGCGCTTTTTCAAAAATCGGTGGCAGGCGTGATAGTTATGCCCCTTTTGGACATATAGGTTCACGAGTTCAGCCGCAGCAGCTTCAGCGCTAGAAGGTGGAAATGTGTATTTTCGAATTGTGTGGAGTCGTGATTGGAGGCCTGACAGAGCCAAGCGCTGGCTCCCGGCGGTGGTGGAGTCCCGGATTTTCCAGGGTTGGGAAGGTTGCATGTAGGTGATGGTGCGTTGTGGGAGGTCGATGTTGAAACCGAGGAGATGAAAATCCTCCACCGGTTCGAGTTCCACTGGATCGCCAAAGAAATTGTGGTGGATGAGGGTTTGGATAGCCGGGCGTTGAAGGAAATGTTCGTTGTGGACAATGAAGCGGTTGTCGACATATCGATAGTAAGTAAAGTGGAGGTCTGTGTGTTGAAGGAGGTTGTTGTGGATCTGATGCCAGGAGTGCTCAATGAGGGTGATGGCAACATTGCATAGGGCTGGAGAGAGCTGGGATCCAATCCCGGCCCCTCGGATTTGTTTGTAAGTATTGTTGCAAGCCCGGAAAATGCATGTGTTGAGGGCAAAAGCCACGATGGTGGTAATGTCGGAAGTCTGGATGGTGCGTTGGGTAGGGTGTTTCCGATGGTGTCTGCCAATGTGTGAGTGGTGGAATGGATTGCCGGTGGCCTGGACATCCACCGTCAAGGTGTGTGTGGGTTGCTGTTGTTGCCAGTGGTGGACGAGGGAGTGAACTGCATCGATGAGTCGGTGCTGTGGGACTGAGTTGAAGAAGCCGACCAGGTCATCGTTGGTGGCATGTAGTGAGATGTCTGGTGGTGTTTGGGTGAGGTAGCTGTGAAAGTGGTGCCAAAGCTGGGGAATGGACATTTGGCCGGGATGTTGAGGGTAGAGATGTTGGAGGATGATGTAAAGGGCACGGCTGGTGATACGGAGCAAGTTGCCACTGAGTGATTGGAAGTATGAGATAATCGTACGGCCTTTTTGCCAGTGCTTCTTCTCCTTGAGGTGGACAACGCCGTATGGAATGTTGAAGTCTTTTCGGAAGCCCCACTTGTAGCGAGTGCGCAAAATGGGGGGGACCGTGGCGGCCAGGTGATCGTGGATATTGGCGGCAGTGATGTAGGGAAGTGGTTCGAAAAGTTCGGGGGATTGCCAGGTGTTCAAGGCGCCAGTGAAATATTGGCGAGGGCAAAACAGCCGGAGTTGTTGGAGCTCATGGTCGGCATGGTGAAGTAATGTGTGTTTGCCAAGATGTTCTTGGAGTTGGCGAAGCAGGCGAGCCGTAAAACGGGGTTGCTGCTTGAGGTGTGTGTTGTGGAGGCGCCATTGGTGCTCAAGGAATGGCTGCAAATGCTGAACGAGGGATGGCGGAAGCCCTTGTAGTTTGAGCCATTTTGTGTAGGCCGTCTTGAATATGAGGAAGTATCGGGCTTTGCTTGGGTAGTAGGTGCTGTTCATATTGGCGTTGAGGAAAATGCCGAGGTGTGTAGGGAGTTGGAGTTGGTCCAGTGTAAGAATGTAGTGGCCGTTGATGGTGGGGGTATCGGGATCCTGCAAGAGGGTGCGAAGGTGATCGCATGCGCAGGGGAGGTCTGCTGGATCTGGCGGGGAGTGGAGGGTGTCCTCCCATGTGCGGTGGTTATGCAGGTGGGAACGGAGGGTTTTGTGTGCGGCTTCTCTCAGTCTGTGGGAGGGAAGGTGGAGGGGGATGGTGAACTGCTTGTGCTGCTGGATGGTGGTACGAAGCCACAGCTGGCAGTGCTTAGTGAAGTCGTCGTGGGCCAGGAAGGGCACTGTCAATGGAATATTGGGTTTTGGCGGTGTGAGGTTGCGGTAGATCAGGGCTTTGTTGAGGATGTGGAGAGCTCGGCTGCGGCCAGGTTCTTCAAGGTTTGCGGCCATGCGCCGGATTGCGTAGACTTCAAGGTCCGTGTGGCGGCCACTTCGTAGCTCTTTGGCTGCTTCAAAGGAGGCTGCGGTGTGTTTGGTAAGGTTGCGAAGAAGTTGGAGGGCGTGATGTTTGGTGGAGGTGTAAAGGTGTGGTTCTCTGAGGGTATACTGGCGTTGCCGGAGGCGTCGGAAAAGTCGTTTGTGGGTTGCTAGTCTGGAGTAGAAGTGGGCTCTGTGTTTTGTGAACTGCCAGCCCTGAGCTTTGAGCTTGAGGTGGTGGGAAATGAAGGGCCAATTGAGCGTAGGCATCCAGTTTGCGATGTAGTGGTGCTCTTGGATCCAGGCTTGGTCATATGTCTCATGGGAGGTAAGTTGAATAGTGGTGTAGTGGTGGATGTTGTTGTGTGAGTGCCAATAACGTAAGGAGAGTTCTGCAGAGATGGGGATGTTGTTTTGGAGTTGTTTGAGTTTGGCGCGGCGATTGTGCTCGCGGTGGGGAATGCCAATAGCTGTGGAGCCAACATAGAAATGGCCATGCTGATGGTAGCAGCGTTGGGGCTGGTCGGGATTGAAGTGGAGCTTGATGTAGACTGAATTCGAGGAGAGGAAGTTGTGGTAGTGGTATGTATGGGGCAAAATGTGGAGTTGGCGGAGGCGGTTGCGCCATTGTTGTGAGCGATTGGTGTTGGAAGGGT